AGGTTTAAAAAGGCTCTTTTAGATCCTGGGTTTTTAGGGTATTTTCCACTCGGGCAGATAGGTAGAGCTCAGCATCTGCAAGGTTTCACTTCCAACTTCTGTGGTTCCATTTTCCCGTAAAATCACAAATACAAGAGGTGTTTTGCTCAGGCCACCCACTTGTTCCATGGGTGGTAGAAAGGTGCCATTCCCTCCATGGCAGCTTCTGGGCCGTTGGGCCTCCTTGGGCGTTGGCTTGAAGTTGTAAAGTAGAGGAATTGTGTCTATCGCTTCAAGAATTTTCTCTCTCCCCAGTAGCTTTGGGATGACGCCATTAGCAGAGCTGTATGGCCATTCACATACCTCCTGTACCCCTCTGTATTTGCTATGTATCACTGTGTGGTGATAGAAAAAATAAACCTCTGCTAATATGCATCTACCTACTGTTGTCCTATTGCCTTCAATAGCTTCATGTAAATACGTTCTTTCTTTATCTTGAAAGCTCTTGTAATGTCTGGTGCAGTGCCTTCTACTCAATAAATACTTTTTAAATGAAAATGAATGCCTGATGGCCCTTCATTCTATTCCATGCAAGTCAACTTAGCAAATATTTATTAACATCTCATGTCTTCTTGGCACTGTGTTAAACTCTAGAGGTTCTTTTTTTTTAGACAGGCACCATCTCTGTACATGACAAGCTCATAAGCTTTTTAGAATAACACCAATGGTGGAATTTTCAGGCACCGTGAAAGAACAATAGGGCAATTATTTTTAGATGAGCTGCCATTTCAGACCCCCTAAAATCAATTGCCTGCTCTGCCAGTTCATCAGCCCTGCTTGTTTTTGCCACATCTTCTTCTCCATATGCGTATTCCTATTAACCAGAAAGAGTTCTTAGATATTATTCCAAATATTAAGACTCTGATGTTTCAGGAATTCTTTTAGGGCTCAATAAGCAGTTCATATTTTTCAGTTCATTTCCTCACTGATTCTGTACCTCTCCTCAGAGAGCTAATTACGGCTGGGGACAAACACGAGCTTTACCGACTGATATTAACTTATACGCATGACCATGGAGCTCACCTGGGCCCAGAGAGCCACCCAGTGGTCCCCCTACATTTTACTGGCCAAGTCACTCCCCACTGAGCCAGATAATTCATTATTTCTTCTCTCATTTCTGGCCTCCAACATATTTTCTCCCTCCTTATTCTCTTTTGGTGACCTGCTTCCTCTTTCACTGAGAAAACAGGAGCAGTGAGAAAGGCCACAACCTCCGTCATCTACTGACATCTGTACCCACACACTTGGTCTTCCCTTCGACTACTGTGGATGGACCATCATTGTCCTCAGGCCAACTCTCCACTGTGTACTCGCTCTTACCCCACCTGCCTCCTGGAGGACGTTGCTCCAACAATTTTCCTCTTCATCTTCTGCAGCATCACTTTTTCTATTGTTACTAGATCGTTCCCGTCAGCTTCCAAACACGCTGTAGCATCTGCCCTCTTGAAAAGTACAACTCTCCCTTGGTCTCTCTCCTCTGTCACCCTATTTCTCTGCTCCTCTTTACAGCAAAACTCCTCAAAAGAGTTGTCTGTGCTTTCTGCCTCTCCTTCCTCTCTTATGTCTTTTTAATCTACTTTAGTCAAGTCTTTGCCCTTCACTGAAAGAGGTCTTATCATTAGTCACTAATGACTTCCCCATTGCCAAATCCATGGGTTTATTCTCAGTCCTGATCTTCCTTAGCAGGAGTATTTACTACCAGGAGCATCTAATTTAGCTTTTTCTTCCTTCTTTTGGCTTCCAGGACACCACTCCCTTTTGGTGTTCCTATGTCCTTCCTAGATGCTTTTCCCCAGTCTCTTTGGCTGATTCCTCTTCATTTCCAGGAAAGTAATAGCCTCTGAGCTCTATCCCAGGATGTCTTGTTAGCTCTATCCACACTCGTTACCTAAAAGATCTCATCCAAATGTATGGTGTAAAACTCCCTAATTTAGCCATCTCCAGTCCAGACATCTCCCTGAGCTGCAGCCACCAGGTATCTAACATCCTACTCAACATTTCCTCTTAGACGTCCAGAAATATCTCAAAGGTAACATTTTCAAAGCCAAACACCCAGTTTCTTCTCCCCAGACTTGCATTCCCCTTTCAGTAAACGGCAACCCCATCCTTCACATTGTTCAGGTCAAAATCATTGGAGCCCTCCTGGATTCCTCTCTATCATGCCCCTCAACAATTGATCAGCAAAACTTACTGGATCTATCTTTAAAAATTTGACCTCTTCTTACTACCTACAATGAGACCCTGGTCTAAGCCCCTCATATCTCATCTTGGTTAATGCAAAGACTTCCTAACTGTTGTCCTAGCTTCCGCCTTTGCCCTTCTACAGACCGTTATTCATAAGTAGCCAGAGTAAACCTTTTCACACGCACCTCAGGTCGTGTCATGTCACTCCTCCGCTCAAAACCTCCTGTTTCATGCAGAGATCAAAGCCAGAGACTTTCAGTGGCCCTATGTGACCTTACAGTGCCTGCTTATCTCTCTCTCCTCCAGACCTCTCTGATCTCATTTCTAACACCTTTCCATCTCCCTCACTCAACTGAAGCTTCCTTGACCTCCTTGCTGATCTTTCAACAGTCCAACTAAGGTCCTGCCTTGGGGCCTTTGCATATCACCCAGAATGCCCTTCCTGCAGAGGACCACAAGACTTGATCCTCTATTGTTCTAGTGTCACCTTCTCAGATGGGCCTTCCCCATCTCCCTAAAAAAACCCCAATCCCTACTCCTAGCACTTCCTAGCTCCTTTTTTTGCTTTATTTTTCTTCTGAACACTTATCACCACAGGATGTATTATGTATTTACTTCTTTCCACCAGAATCTGTGCTCCAGGAAGATTGGGATTTTACAAACTGTTTTGGTCATTGGTGTAGCACCAGGGACTAAAGTAGTGCTTGGAACACAGTGGGCATTACATAAATAACTTTGTGAATGAGTGATTGAAGCAACGGAAGACACCATTCATGTTTTCACCACAGATTAACAGTGTTTACTGAGGATCTATTAACTACAACTAGGGCTGGGTGCACAGGAAACTTCAGAGAAATATACATCATGCTGATTTCCTTCAACAAATAATTTAGGCATTATTAGCACACATACAAAAGAAATAGAAATAATTCAAAAACTTTGTAATGTACAGTTTTATGTGAAAATAGTTCTAAAGTATAGTCAGGCATTATTACGGGATTCTTCATCTAAATTAGCTGCTTTGTGGTCTAGGTGCTAATATGAAGGTAGACCTTAAAAGCAGAATTAAGTTACCTAGTGACTATGGTTAATGTCACTTTGAGAATACGTTTCCATTTTGACTTGCGGTCTCAATACGTGTGGTAAAAGAATTAGCCACAAACCAGTTAAGAACATGTAAGTGGTTTTCTCTAACTGGAAAATACTCAAAGATGCCCTACTTACGACTTATACATAGTTACCATTTTCTTATTTTCACATTTGAATTCTTATTTGGCACGAGGTTAGCACACTTTATGACAAATTCTCTGTTAATGTGTTTATGTTCCACCTTATTTCAGAAAGAATATGAGGCGAAATTGTAAACACCTGAATTTAATGGCAGACTCTGACTTCAGATACAAGCAAAGAAATTTCACTTGTTGAAATATAACAATTTTTTAAGGTTTCATTTGTATTCTTTAGAATGTTTAAAAGTCGCACGTCATGAATGATGTGGGGTCGGTGAGTCAAGGAGTCGAAAGAAAGATTTCTTGGACTCTCAAGGTCCGGCAGTAGTGCTCTTTTATTCAGAGAATGGTATGGAATAGCATGGGGACAGGACCCACGGGCAGTGAAGAGCTGCTGCCCTGAGTTGAGGGTTAGGGCTAAATTTATAAGGCATGGGTACGTGACTTATTTTTACTAGACAAAGAAAAGATGATGTAGAAAGTCATTAAATGCTTTCAGTGCAGATGGGGTCTGGTTATTGTATGGTCATATAACTTTAGATGTGAATCTGGTCATATAGATTGGCATGTAGGCCAGGATGCCCTGGGCTTCTCTCCCTGGGGCAGCCCTAATCCACACCATAAAATCCATCGGGTCATATAGATCGGCATGTAGGCCAAGTCACCTTGGGCTTCTCTACCTGGGGCAGCCTTGATCCACATCAATTAATACCTTTTAATTCATAATAATAATTGTTTGTTTAATAAGCCTTTTATTATGGGTTAGTCCACCTGTTCCCTGCTTCCTTACCTCATTTCCTATGACAACAACAACAATGTTGTATTTCTGTCCTAAAGATGAGTAAACTGAAGTATGTAGAGGGTAAGTAACTAGCTCCAAGTCCCACCACTGATCGAGGGGCAGAGCTGTGATTTGAAACTAGCACTGCCTCTAAAACCCAAGCCCTGTGCTGTTCGTCACCATGATCTGTCCTTCTTGTCCTCTCCTGGTGTCCGTAGAGTGCTCCCTGCTCGTGACAGAGGAAAGAGGCAGCACCAGAAAATATGTACTGAGAGCTAAAAACCTGAGCTGAGTGGAGCAGCTGCTGTACCTGCACGCTCTGAACCCTGCCCCCCAGCCGCCCCCCGTGCCAGCCTCAGAGAGACCCCTTGATTGCCTGCTGAGGTTATCAGGCTCTGGTAGCGGCAATGTTTAAAATATAGATAGGTAATTTCTGTAGTATTTTGATTCACATACGCATTTATCGCTTGGTAGTGTAAGGCTGGTTCGTCCTTTCCTCCCTGGAGTTCTGTCTCAGCAGGCTTTCACTCTGGATTCCAACAGATCTGAGTGGCTGGCAAGTTGTCATCCTTGCCGGGATATTGTGGGGCTGGAGAAATTTGGGAGTTGCTGAATAGATACACAGTAGTTAACAGGACCTGAAGTGGAGCTCTTGGGATTTCATGAAATGCCAGTGATTTTTAAACTCTTTCTTCCCCACAAAGCCTATCAAGTCAGTCCTCTGGGACAGAGAGCAGTTGATGGTTCTAGATACAGACATCAGGCCAGCGCTTGCCTCAGCAGCACAAATACTGTAATTGGATCAGTGCAGAGAAGAAGACATGACCCCTGATCAAGGATGACATGCAAATGCGTGAAGCATTTCTATTCTCTAAAGACAAGAATGTAGGGTACTTGTCTTTTCCCCATTGTTCAAATTCCAAGCTTATTTTCCTTCTAAGTTAGCATGTGTATGTCAGGTTAGGTTTCACAATGCAGTACAATAATATACCGAATAGATAAAATAGAGACAGAGCCTAGACCACGGCCACAACTACCAAAACACAGAAGAAAGATAAAATAAGAAAATAATATTTTAAAAAATCCTTCACTTTCTTTTGTTGGCTTTTAAGGATGGTGGAGAGAAATTTGTTAAAAATGGCATATTGAGGCTATCAGAAAGGCAGTACGCTGTTGACCTCAATGGAGAAACTGGCATAAAGTGCTGATTTACATGGAAAGAGAACTGGGCTGTAAATATGCTATAGTTCTGGTCTCAGGCAGATGTCCAAATGCGGCTCCCAGGGAGAGCGTAGATACGGGGTGGTCGTCTGTGTGGAATAGCGATTGAAGCTAGGAAGGTGAATGAGCCAAGGGGAAGAGCAGAGGAAAAAGGCAGGTGCCGAGGGCTGCCCTCAAAGTGGTGGAGTTAGAGGAGCTGGGGGGAGAAGGCAGGTGGAGGGTCGGAGGAGAGATGTCACCAAGCAGATGTGAGAAAGAGATGAAGGAGCTCTCGCCCAGAACACAGGGTCTGGGCAGCCAAGGGGAGTAAGAATTTTAAGTAATCAAGAGAGGCAGATGCTAAAAGGAGGAGTCAGAGGACTTTGCACTGGAAAAGATGCCATTTTAGAAGAGCCGTTTCACAGGAAAAGTCAAGGCAGAAATCACAAGAGGCTTAAAGAACAAATGGAACTGTAACGATGTAATTACCAAGGATGCAGAAATTCTGACTGAGAAGCCGAAGAAGAGGAAATAAAAAGATTGGTAGTTCAAAGGGTTCCTGAAATGTAAACTCAGTGAAGTCTAGTGAAAACACTTTCCTGTTATGAATGGACCTGATTGTAGATAACAATGTTTGAGAGTCTGAGGGGCCGATCTTTATCTCCGCAGATGTTCCTCACGAGTTCTGAACCAACTGAGGGAAATCAAAGAGTCAGCAGGAGACAATCAAAATATGAAAATATTCGTATCTTAAATCTTTTATAATATGTATTCCTGATGAAGCTTGATAATGGAGCACATGGCTTTGGAATGTGGCAATGGTAAACTTTCTAATACTGATCCTCCTGGAATAAATAGGTTTCCTGCCATCGCCCCCAGTCACAGCCAGGACTGGACAATGCAGGTCCCCACACGGGGACTCGCTCCTCTAACTCTTACAGCATCTTGGAGGAGCAGACCGGAACAGGTCACCTCGGTGGTCTTTGGACTCCCGAGAGAAAAGGGGAGAGAGGAGAGGACTGAGGCTCCACCACCCAGGTCTTCATGGGGAGAGTCATCCCCAGCTTCAGGTGGAAGGGTGGGACAAGAGACAGGAGGTTTAAGGACAATCTCTCCTCACAGAAACTGGAAAAGGAGGGAAGAAACAGTCCCCAGCACTCTCCTCACCACTGCTCCCAACCCCACTCCCTAAAAAGATGGTGGAGTAGACATTTTTAAAAGATTTAAAAGAGAGGTCAAACTTTCTGACCAAAGCCAACATCAACTAATAAGATTTTACATTTTAGCCTTAACAAATAGCATTTGAAATTTTACTAAGTTTAATGGGCTGGTTAGAGACGCTCAGTCACTCAATTATAGAAACTTAGATAAATATAATTTGAAGTAATAATTTAATAGTTGTCTCCGTCTCTCATTCCAAACTGGGTCTCTCCTTCTCTCTCCCCCATCCTCTTCAGCAAGAAACGACTTCCTTTCCCCGCACCCAATCAGCCCCCACATCCGGCCAAAATCCACCGAAGGGCTTTCTGACCTGCTCTGATCTACTTCAAGTTACTTCTTGCACATTCACGCTCCAGAGTATTGAACTCGTTGAACGTTCCAAAAAATGCCATGTCATTTCATTGATTTGTATTGGAACAGGCTGGGTTTTCCTGCCTGGAAGGTTGGTCTTCTCCTCCCCTCCCCTCCCCAGCTCTGCCATCCCGTCCTGACCCCCCCTCCCATTTTACCCCTCACCCTCCACCTACGTCTGGCAGCAGTGTCTGACTGAACCCTAGGCAAGGCTCCTTCGCAGAGGGTGCTCATTTATTTCAGACTACGTCCGGAGCCCACTGATCCAATAGGCGCAGCGGGCACAGTGCCCAGGGCCCTGGATACTTTTAGGAGTCCACAAAGATGTTTCATTTCACTTAAAATCAGAGGAAAAAATGAATGTCAAAGAAAATATTTTAACATGTGTAACGTTAATATTTTGCTTTTGTATGGTAAAACACAACTTATGTGAACATACGTGTGTATATATATAAACATAAAGACCTCCGCCCCACATATATACTTTTTTTTCTTGATGGAAGAGGGGGTCAAAAATACCTGGGCCCATGAAAGTCATGCTGTGGCCCTGGACAGTCTTGCATTTCTTTTTTAAAATTCTCAAAATAAAATCAATTTTGATTCAGTTTTTTCAGTAAAAGTTTGCATTCTGAAAGCAGCCTAAACAGGTAGCATCCAAAGATTGAGGAATAATTAATTCAAATCAGACATAACTGGTGATTATAATCTTTTTTTTTTTAAGTTTAGAGACAGAAGAAGAGCAAGAATATTTCACCTCAGATTATATTAACATCTCCACTGATTCATTACAAGGAGGCAAGAAGTATCTGGTTTGGGTCCAAGCTGCAAATGTGCTGGGCACAGAGAAGTCGAAACCGTTACGAGTTCACCTGGATGATATAGGTAAAGAACAAGAAAGTCTGTAATGTCTTTACAAAGAAACAATTAATTTGTGCTGACCTAGTCAAGCAAAGTCCAGGTCTGAAAGGTCCTGCAGATCATGATAAAGAAAACAAGAAACACCCATAATCTACCTGCCCAAGACAACTCAAAGATAAGGACTGCTATCGTTGCACTGTGTATCCTTCCAGTCTAATTTCTACACGGGTGTATGTGTTCTTACAAATACTTAGTGATAACTTCTTATGGTTCAGCATTATTCTAGGAGCCAAGGAGAACAAGATAGACAAGGTACCTGCTGCCCTAAATATCTTGCAATCTGCCAGAGAGGATGGAAAGAAACAAGGATTACTGTAGAGCGCTATGAGTCTAATGTTGTGAGGAGCACAACAGGCTGAAGAATTCTGCTCTAGACACAATTGTGCAAGTTATGTTTTTGTCTGGTTTTATTTTGAAAAGTTTTGCAAAATACGTAGAAGACTGTGGAGAATCATGTCGACATCCCTATGTTCACAAACCGGATTTAACAAAGGTTAACATTTTTTGCTTCAGATATTTTTAGACTTTGCCTTTTTTAACTCACAGTACGGAATAAATATTTCTATTAATTTAACCTACAATATTATTTTTAATGAATGTCTTTAGTCCCTTACTGTTGGAGATTTAGGCTGTTTTCAAATTTTCACCCTTATAAGCTATGTTGCCGTGAACAACCTTTTGGCTAAGTTTTTTCATAGTAGTTGGTTGTTTCCTCAAGATAAATTCCAAAAAGTAATTGCCCTTGAATCTTTTACACCTACATCCCAGGCCTAAAGCCACCAAGTGTGAACCACCCTTCATTTGGAGATCCCAGGGGCAATTATTCCTGTTTTATTATTAAGGGTGATTTCAGCAGGCTAACATTTACGGAGCATTTTCTTCAGTGCTAAGCGCTTTCACATATGTTATCTTATTTAGCTCTCACAGGAACCCTATTTTGTAGGAGAGACTATAATTTACACACGGGGAAACCGAGGCCAGGCAGCATTAGGAAATCTGAGACTGCAGAGCTAGGGAGCTTCTCGTTCCAATCTCCTCGACTCCTGTCCTCGGTCTTTATTTAAAAGCACATGCAATGTGTCTGACAGCTCCTGCTGATTAAGGACCTAGAGGATGTGATGCCTTCTCTTGGGGTACAACATGGGCATCTTTGGGAGATCACTGGGGTCTTCGATGGAAACTAATATCTCAGCTTCTCAACTCCCTTCTTCACAAAACCCAACTATCTCAACTAACAGGATTAGTCTAAAAATCTGTCCTTATGCTCTGGATATTGGATTTGAAAACAAACACTGCTGACTACGGTGGAATGACAACTCTATTGTATTGTATATTCTTGGAGTTATAGTTCTCTTGACCATAATCTACACATTTTTGTAAATTTACATTTTGAGGCGTAATGCTGTAATATGACCTTTCTTAAAACAGGTTCCCTTCAATGGGTTAATGACGTTTAAAGGCTATCATGTCTAGCATCATTCTGGCAATGTCATTTTTAAGAAGTAAATTATTATTAATGGTATTGCCATCATTATTATCATTGTGGTCTTATTATGATCTTAGTATCATCGTATCTATTTATTGAACACCTACTGTGTTCCAGACAATTAACATGAACATCACATTAAATTCTGGAAGCAATCATACGTGGTACTACTGTGCCCATTTTATGGATGAAGAAAGAGATAAAATAATTTGCTCAAGGTCACACAGCTAGTAAGGAGGAGAGCCACATTTGGTTCCAGACTTGCGATAGGTAACCACCGCCCACCCTGTCCCCGCCCCCCCAATAAAGGGAAAGTCTCCTCTGGCCACCACCTCCAAACCTGAGTTCTCAGACTGCAAACCGGGAGCCTGTTGTTCAGAGTTGTTATTTCTCCTCCTCCTCCTCCTTTCTCACTGAACAAAATGGAAAAATACCAGTTGACAGTGTAGGAGGCTCCACCCAACAGAGCGCCAGATTCTTAATGGATGAGCTATGTTCATTCGTGACACTTTAAGAATGAGACGTTGCAAGTTAGATAAATGGACTGTTCTATGAAACAGAGGACAGAAGACTCTCCTGGGAGCCATTTGCATGTAACAGCTCCGGGATTGGGGTTTAATTAAGTTAAGGAGGCTGTGCTGAAAGGCAGGGTTGAGTTAAGAGCGCAGTAACACCGTGCCAAAAGACATGCGGGGGA